AATGCCTGTGACGCTCCGCAATGCTTCCACGACGCTCCAGATGCTCGGCGGAGCATCGCACAGGCGCCATACACTCCGAGAACGTGTGTGGAAGCCCCCAAAACCTCAAATACCGGTAAGGAGCACAGGTGGGCCCTCCGGAGCACTGTACTGGAACAGTATCTGGTGCTCCTGGCAAGCACCGGTACCCCCATACCAGGGTGTACCAGTCATAACCTACCTCTCTCTCTTAAACTTTTAAACTTTAAACTTTAATAGGATTTGTATGCTGCCCACTCCCTAGGGACTCTCTCTCTCTCTCTCTCTCTCACACACACACACACACACACACACACACACACTTACTTACTTACTTGCTTACTTACCGGCCTAGTTGTGGTGTTCCTTAGACCCGAAACCAGAGCAAGCGTGATGGAAAAAATGTAGATTTTCATCGTCTTCTCTTTCATTAATTCTCCCACCCCCCCTTTTTTTTTTAAAGTACCAAACTACCTTGGAATTTTTCTGGAATATCTCAGGGCTGAAGGATCAGATAGGAACTCCAAGCAACGTTGGGGGTGCATGCAAATTTGCTTTCCTTTTAAGATAAGTTTTAACTCCTGCCACTACTTCAACGAGGGTTAATCATTCACCTGCTCACCTACTGATTGATCGATCGATCGCGGGAGAGAAACGGAAGCCAAAGAAAGCAGGTTGCAGAGAATTGGGGATGATCAATATTTGCACAAGGCTTCCTTTCCCAGCTCCACTTGTTGAGAATTAACAAGCCCAACTAGAGGACCCCGGTTGAGTAACGCAGCCCGAAGAGGCGGAGTTAATTTTAAAAGATAAGTTTACTCTTAAATTAAACCATTCAATTTACACACAATTGACAAAATGGAAAGCTGACAGGCAAAAAACCAAAATGTCCAAATACGATATGCAACCTCTTCTTCCTCCTGAATTCCAGAACGGGGTTCGAATTCCGCTTTGAGGGGGGCATAGGGGCGTGGCGTGGCCCAACATGTAATGCCAGAAACTTCCAGTTTGCTGCGAATGACCAGTGAGTGAGTGGCTGGGAATGACTATCACAACTAATAGTGTTGTGATCCTTCCCATTAAGCAGGCGTGATCAGTGGTGAAATTCAAATTTTTTTACTACCAGTTCTGTGGATGTGGCTCAGTGTGCGTGACAGGGGAAGGATACTATATTCCCACCCCACTCCTGGGTGAAGGATACTGCAAAATCCCCATTCCCTCCCCACTCCAGGGGAAGGATACTGCAAAATCTCCATTCCTTCCCCACTCCAGGGGAAGGATTCTGCAAAATCCCCATTCCTTCCCCCACTCCAGGGGACAGATACTGCAAAATCTCCATTCCCACCTCACTCAAGGGGAAGAATACTGCAAAATCAGGATTCCCTCCTGATCAGCTGGGATTTAGACAGGGGCGAGGCCAGCCAGAGGTGGTATTTGCCAGTTCTCCGGACTACTCAAAATTTCCACTACTGGTTTTCCAGGACCGGTCAGAACCTGCTGAATTTCGCCCTGGACGTGGTGGCATATAATGAGAACCCCGAGTCCACCTTCAAGAGGTCCCTCCATCCAAGTGTGACATTACTTGTGGATTCCCCAACAATCACAGTATTCTCAGCTGTTCCTTGGGGTGAAATGAAATGGGACAACTCACCATAGTCAACTCACCATGGCCAAGTTGCCGTGGCCAGCTTGCCTTGGTCAACTTGGCCACGGACAAACAGAATGGGGTATTGTTGGGTGCTGGCCCCTCCAGCAACCGAATCAGATAGGGAGTAGGTGTGGGGGTCAGGATCAGCATCAGGGCAACCTGGGAGCTCCAACAGGAAAGAGGGAATGGAGCTGGGAGAGACAAAGAGAGAGAGAGAGGCGGAGCCTGGACCGTCCGTCAGCCCTCAGATGGAGAGTCAACAGCCCCCAGGTCTGGAAGTGGCTGATGAGGAAGAGGAGGAACAGCTGGACTCAGTGCCTGACACACAGATGTGCAGAAAGCAGAGGAGAGGAGTGGAAATCTATGGGAAGGAAGGAAGGAAGGAAGGAAGGAAGGAAGGAAGGAAGGAAGGAAGGAAGGAAGGAAGGAAGGACGGACTAGCAATAGTACTTAGACTTATATACCGCTTCACAGTGCTTTACCACCCACTCTAGCAGTTACAGGGCCTCCTGCTCCCAACAATCTGAGTCCACATTTTACCAACCTCGGAAGGATGGAAGGCTGAGTCAACCTTTCAGCCAGTCAGCATCGAACTGCTGGCACTGGGCAGAGTTAACCTGCTATACTGCATTCTAACCACTGGGGAGGAAGGAAGGAAAATAGCAATAGCACTTAGACTTATATACCGCTTTACAGTGCTTTTACAGCCCTCTCTAAGCGGTGTACCAAGTCAGCCTATTGCCCCCAACTATTTTGGGCCCTCATTTGACCGACCTCGGAAGGACGGAAGGCTGAGTCAACCTTGAGCCTGGTGAGATTCAAACTGCCAAATTGCAGGCAGTCAGCAGAAGTAGCCTGCAGTACCCCACTCTAACCACTGCACCACCGCGGCTCCACAGGTGAATGCCACAGGGAGTACAAAGCGCCCCGGGCGCTGCACGTTTAGACGTTCAAACGAAAGTCGCCTTGCAGGGACCCTCGTTCTCCTCGCTCCCGGCCGCAGGGACAGCGGGAAGGTTGGATGTCCTTTGAGTTCTCGTTTGTCTTTTCGGCTGGCCGGCTCTGGGCTCCGAGACGCTGCCGTCAAAAAGGACACGGCTCTCTGGTTCGGGACACGACCATCGCGGGGCCGGCAATGATGCCGTAACACTGTCCACGTCGATTACGCAACGGATCGGGAGTTCGGGCCTACAAGTCTCCTTTCGGATCACGGCAGGGTTGAAGTCACGATGGTGGCTTGGGGAAGTTGGGTCGTAAAGGCTCCCCTCGCTTCCTCGGAGGTGGGTTCTAGGCTTGTGGAGCAAACCTAGAACACAGAAGAAAAAGGGAAGAGGGAAGATGAGAAGGCTTCGTATTGTAACCAGTGGTGGCATTTACTTACTTTCCCATCAGTTTGCAAATGTGAGCATGCGCTTGTGCTCTGCGTTCCTCCCCAACCCTCCTCACTGTCCAAATCTGCCGCCAGCTCTGTTGGCTGCTAGTGGGCCACAACAGTGAGCCGGTGTAACAAACCATGCAAAAAGCATAACAGAGAATGATTGCCAAGCCATTCAACATCTGGAAATACCTGGTCTGAGTGTCTCAGAGGTGGCTTTGACCTCGGTGGGACTTCCCGTCTCAGAGAGGGGCAGCCTGCGGCTTGGGGGGCTGGCGATGTCCCCCTCCGGCACCAGGGTGAGGTCCGCCAGGAACACATCGTCCTCCTCCTCCTCCTCCTCCTCCTCCTCCATGGTCTCGTCCTCTTCTTTCCACCTGGGGTTGCCCTGCAAAAGCAGATTCGGAGGGCGGGGAGCATTTCCATCGCTGGTCGCGTGGGCGAGAGCCACGGGCATCATCCCGCCATTCTCCGGACCTCTCTGCCCAGCCGCCGAGTTGCTTGGGGGTTTCAGGCACCTTCTGCCCTCCTGCCCATCAGGATGGGGCATCTGCGGGGGAGTGCCTGCAGTATCCCTGGAGACAGATGTGGAAAGGCCCGTCTGGCCCGGGGGCGTCTGAAGGAATTCGGGCAAAACCAGGTCTTCCTTTCTCAGCAACCCGCGCTGGTCGTCGGCTCGGTTACTCTGGACTTTGGATATGAGTTCGAAAAATTCTAAGCCAAGAAACCCAGATGGTGAGAGTCAGCATTGCAAAAAGCCCATCATGGCCAAACAAGATTGCAGATTAACAGCGTTAGAAGGGACCGTGGAGGTCATCTAGTCCACCCCCCCCCCCCTGCCCAAGCAGGAGACCCTAAACCGTTTCTGATGGCAGTCCAGTCTCTTCTTGAAAGCCACCAGGGACGGTAAATTACTTAACAGGTTAATAGAGCGGGAAGGGACCTTGTGGGTCATCTAGTCCAACCCCCCCCCCTGCCCAAGCAGGAGACCCTAAACCGTTTCTGATGGCAGTCCAGTCTCTTCTTGAAAGCCACCAGGGACGGTAAATTACTTAACAGGTTAATAGAGCGGGAAGGGACCTTGTGGGTCATCTAGTCCAACCCCCACCCCCGCCCAAGCAGGAGACTCTACAGCATTTCTGACGAACGCCCAGCCTCTTCTCGAAGGCCTCCAGTGATGAAGCTCCCACAAAACCTGAATAAGAGAATAACAAACTAATATATTTGGAAGGGACCTTGTGGGTCATCTAGTCCAACCCCCACACCCATCCAAGCAGGAGACTCTACAGCATTTCTGACGAACGCCCAGCCTCTTCTCGAAGGCCTCCAGTGATGAAGCTCCCACAAAACCTGAATAAGAGAATAACAAACTAATATATTTG